ACTAGAGGGTGTGGGTGTGACTTAAGTCATTATCCTCCGCTTTTCCTGGGGAGATGGTTGGCCACCACTGCCATTGATTCAATTCTGACTCAAAGTGACCCTATAGAACTGAGTAGAACTGCCTCTTTGACTTTACAAGACTTTACACTTTTACAGCCTCATTCTTCTCCTGATAGAGTCGAAGAGTTGCTGACTGCAACACTTAACCCAGCTCTCCTTTGTCTCGGTGTTATTATGTTATAGCTGAAGCTTTGAAAAAAGGTTCATCATTGTATTTAGAGATATTTTTGTTCAAAGTTATTGAACTGATTTTCTTTCACTTTGCATTATTTTTGTAATCAATTCCTATTAAACTTTTCACTTTCAAAAAGTACTATTATTGTCAGTTAATCAGGACTGTGATTAACTGTTGTGTGTAAATTTGGCCCTGCCAGGATTCTCAGTGGCTTGGCAGTTTAGATGTAGTCATCCCTTATAGTGAGATCTTTTGCATAAGAAGTAATCACTTTTGTTGATGAGATGTGCTATAAGCAGCAACCTTTCTCAGAGAGCGTGGCCTACTTCTACTACGCGAGGCTACTCTGGCAAAGCATGCTTGCTTTTGGCTGGGTCCGCATCCTGCATCTGACTCATCTTCTGACCTCCAGATCCTTGGATCTCAGCCAATAGTCTGCCGATCCAGAGTCATCCGCTACTTGCCACCTTACCTGCTGCCTTTAGACGGATTCACCTCTGCAGCAGAAGTCTGCAGTCTGACTTCTTGATCTTCAGCTCACCAGCCCCTGTAATGCTAAAAGAATGTTTATTTTGGTGTGTAAGTCTTGGCTTTTTATAATATTGGTTTCATTCAATGTTTGTCCTTTTATGATTGACTTACTTTACTAAGCACAATGTCCTCTAGGTTCATCAATGTTATGAAGTCTTTCGTAGATTTTTTCATTATAAACACTATGTAGTCTTCTGTTGTGTGTGTTCTGTATGTACCATGGTTTGTTTATCAAACATGTTCTGTATGTACCATGTTTGTTTATCAAACATGTTCTATATGTACCATGGTTTGTTCATCAATTCATTTGATCATAGGCACTTAGATTGTTCCATGTTGTTGTTGTGAGTACAACTGCTAAAATGAATATAGTTGTACATATTTATTAATATCATGGCTCTAGGTTATATACCAAGTCATAGAATGGCTATGACAACCTCTTAATGTGGAATTTCAAATCATGCCTCAGCTAAAGTAAAAATTCCTAGCTAATTTAGATCTTTGAGATCCCTCAGAAATGGTCAAAGTTGCATTTATTATGTCTCTGAATGCCAGGTAGCTGCTGGGGGTGGGGGTAGGGGGCGGGGGGCTGGTGTGGGTTCTAAATATTCTTTTTTTTTTTTTAAACATTTTATTAGGGGCTCATACAACTGTTATCGCAATCCATACACACATCAATTGTGTAAAGCGCATTTGTACATCATTCTCAAAACATTTTCTCTCCACTTAAACCCCCGACATTAGGTCCTCATTTTCCCCCTCCCTCCCCGCTCCCCCCTCCCTCATGAGCCCACGATAGTTTATAAATTGGTATTTTGTCATATCGTGCCCTGTCCGACGTCTCCCTTCACCCACTTTTCTGTTGTTCGTCCCCCAGGGAGGAGGTCACATATAGACCCCTGTAATCAGTTCCCTCTTTCCAACCCACTCTCCCTCTACCCTCCCAGTATCACCACTCACACCACTGGTCCTGTAGGGCTCATCTGCCCTGGATTCCCTGGATTTTCAGTTCCTATCTGTACCAGTGTACATCCTCTGGTCTAGCCAGACTTGCAAGATCGAATTCGAGTCATGGTAGTGGGAGCGGGGAAGAAACATTTAGGAACTAGAGGAAAGTTGTATTTCTCATCGTTGTTACATCGCACCCTGACTGGCTCATCTCCTCCCCGAGACCCCTCTGCAAGGGGGTTCTAAATATTCTTGTCAGAGAAACAAAAGCGTTTAGGCTATAATGATTCTCTTGCTCACAGATCTTCAGAGAAACAAGTTTCTAAATGTTAAACAAATTGAGGGATTATCTCAACTTATATCACAAGTTTACTAATTAGTTACACAAATATTTCCCAAAAGCCAACCCAAATCATTGCTATGGGGTTGATTCTGACTCATATGCCACTTTCTTTCTTTCTTTTAATATAAATAAATCATTTTATTAGGGGCTCCTACAGCTCTTATAACAATCCATATATCAATTGTATCAAGCACATTTGTACATATGTTGCTTTCATTATTTAAAAAATATTTTCTTTCTGTTTGAGCCCTTGGTATCAGCTTCTCCTTTTTTCCCTCCTTTCCCCACGCTCCCACCCTAATGGACCCCTGATAAATTATAAATTATTATTGTTTTCATATCTTACACTGCCCGCTGTCCATTTTTGTTGCCCATCCCCCTGGGGGGGAGATTGTGGGTCGTTGTAATTGGTTCCCCATTTCTCCTCTTTGTCCCCCCACCTTTCCCTACCCTCATGAAATCACTACTCCCATTGCTGTTCCTGAGGGGTTCACCTGTCCTGGATTCCATGTGTTGAAAGCTCTTACCTGTACCAGTGCACATGCTCCTGGTCTAGTTGGATTTGTAAGGTAGAACTGGGTCATGATAGTGGTGGGGGGAGGAAGCATTAAAGAACTAGAGGAATGCTGTGTGCTCCGTCGGTGCTGTGATGCACCATCCCTGTCTTGTTCTCTCCTTGTGACCCTTCTTTGAGGGAATGTCCAATTATCTACAGATGGGCTTTGAGTCTCCACTCCGACCCCCATCATTTGCATCAATATATTTGTTTGTTTGGACTCTTCTGATGCCTAATACCTTATCCCGTTGACACCTCATAATCACCCAGGCTGGTGTGTTTCTTCCATGTGGACTTTGTTGCTTCCCTGCTAGATGGCTGCTTGTTTAGCTTCAAGCTTTTAAGACCCCAGACGTTATATCATGTGCTAATTTCCAGCCAAGGGGAAAAGTAATTTAAAGGGAAATATTCAAATGAGTATATTACTTCCATGTATTTACCTTTCTGTATATATCCTTGTGACTAAGTCTTGTGTTTATGGATGAATAAAAGGTGGGCTGCAGAACACAACCTCAATGTCCCCAAAGACCATTATCCAAGCGTTTGGAACCCTCATTCTCCAGGCCTGACTGTCACCTGAGCATAATGGAACTCGCCACGTCAGATGCTGGTTATTTTGTAAGGGCTCTGGGAGACCTAGATGGACTTAATTCCAGATTTACTAGCATGTACGTAGCTTAGGGAGCATTGCTATTGTCAGGCGTCTGTGGATTTCCTAGATGATGAACTATTTAAAAATCTGATCCCACACTAAGGAACACAGTGGGAAAGAGAGAAAATGGAAATCCAGACGGTCAGGCACAGCACACAGGCGTTAATGCTGGGGAGGAGGAACGTTAATGCAGGGGAGTACATAGACTAGGTGATAAGGAATGAACCTCATAGATGTTGGCAAGGCAGAAGTTGGCCTGGTGGTAAGGTAGAGCCTCATGTCTCTAGCTTCAGCCGACAAATCAGGGCCAACTGCATCAGCGTGTACAGATATGCCGGGGCGAGGAGGCTGTGCTCTTTCATTCAGATACGGGTTCAAGCTCCAGGCATATTCTTTCCTAGCTTTGTAGGTTTGGGCAAATTACTAAATCTTTCTGAGTCTCTTCCATACCCCACCAGTTGTAGAGGCTTTCAACAGTCTTAGCACAGAGGCCAACAGTTACATGTTTTTATTGCTATTATTTTGTAGCTCTAGAAACTATTATTGTATCTCCAGCACCTTTCTTAGAATTCTGAGATGGCTTAGAGCAGTGGTTCTCAACCTGTGGGTCGCGACCCCCTTAGGGGTCGAACGACCCTTTCACAGGGGTCGCCCGATTCATAACAGTAGCAAAATTACAGTTATGAAGGAGCAACGGAAACGATTTTATGGTTGGGGGGTCGCCACAACATGAGGAACTGCATGAAAGGGTTGCGGCATTAGGAAGGTTGACAACCACTGTCTTAGAGGAAGTTTTCCACTGCTCACCTCTTTTAGCCAGGCAACCAGATGCCAATATTGGTTTTAATTGTAATATTCCCTGGAAGGGCCCAGTCAACCTCTTTTTAAAAAAATAATTTTATTGGGGGCTTGTACAACTCTTATCACAATTTATCCATCCATTATGTCAAGCACATTCAAACATATGTTGCCATCATCATTCTCAAAACATTTGCTTTCTACTTGAGCCCTTGGTAGCAGCTCCTCATTTCCCCCTCCCTCGCCACTCCCCCAAAGCAAACTCACTGCCATGGAGTTGATGCCGACTCATAGCGACCCTACAGGGCAGTATAGAACTGCCCCTGTGAGTTTCCGAGGCTGTAACTTTTTACAGGAGTAGAAAGCCCCTTTTTCCTACCCCGGAGCGGCTGGTGGTTTCAAACTGTTGACCTTGCAGTTGGCAGCTCAATGCACAACCACTACATCATCAGGGCTCCTCAGTCAACCTCTTTAGAACTGGTCATGAGGCCACAGCTGGCCAGAAACCTGGAATTCACAGTTGGGCATCTGTTTGCTCTGTCCAGCATTGCTGGAGCCAGCAGAGAACTCGAAGGGCACCCTTTGCAGCTCCAACACCCCATGTAGTTCATTAAGCAACTTCCCAGGACCCCCTCCCTGCATATTGGAAGAGTCTAGTTTCTGACTCTCCATTCAGAAATGAGATGGGATCTGGCATCTTAGAGGTGTATGACATTTTTCCTGTGCATCACGGAAGTCACACACTAGAAAAACCAGCCTTGAAGTGGTGCAGTGCTGGTTGAGGAGACCTTGGGAACAGGACTCCCTGTGCACTGCTGGGTGGCACAGAGCAAACAACACTTGTGCAAAGGAAATGGCCAGGTTGAGGACCGACCGGCATGACTGCAGCCGGAGAAACTTTGGGTGTTAATATTTCTGTCTGAATAACATGCTCACACAAACTACACAGTGACCTTTATTCTGAGTTTAGAAAGTTTACATTTATTGTAGAATGATTATCCAGAAAACATATGTATTCTTGTTTGGGATGCCTATAAATGTGGTGGCCAGAGCAAAGACTGTTGCAGGGTTAGTCAAAAGCTAGTCTGCCAGGAGGCTCAGAGAGCTGGGCAGAAAGGACATGGAGAGAGTGCACTGAAGATTCTGTTGGTAGATAATCACCATTTATGAACTTTGGCAAAAAGGGCAAAAATGGAGGTTGTCTGGTGACCTGGGTGCAAAGTGAGAATTAGTCAGCTTTATGTAGACCCCAGGCACTGCTTCCATGAGTAGTTAGTTATGAGACATGCTGACTAGGTAACTGTGTGGCTACTCTAATTTATACCTTGATGAAATCAACAAGCAAGGTCACTCTGCTCAATGGTCCCAAGTGGGAACCCATGGCGTTCCCTCCTTGTCCTCTTCACGGACACTCTTTCCTTCTCCTGCCTTTGTCTCTACTCAAGGGTTGGAGGCTTTCTGGGAGTGGAGCTGTCTGCACGCTGGTCCATCATTTTCACTGTCCCCCTCAAGCTCCGATGCTGGCAGGAACAAGCTGCTGATGCCTGTAGGGGTGTTCCTTAGCAGGCGCCCCAGTTCCTTCTCATAGCATTCCACGGCTTGCTGCACCTCGCCCTTCAGCTTGTGAGCTACTCCTTGATGGTACCAAGAATTTGGTGCATTTCGTGAAAGCTGACTTTCAGCTACATTTTGTGGTTGGCATGTCATCTTTTCCTTCTCTGCTGATTTTTTGCTTATCTGCAAACCCTGCAAAGGATGTCGGACAGCACCGTCTTCAAACTGCGTGTGATCTTCCCGCACGTTGCCACAGTGCTGATGGAGCTCCTGCTTCTCGGCATCCTTATTCCATGCCATCCGGCAACATTCTTCGGCTTCTCTGTACTGACCTCTTTGTGCCAGCAGCTCCACGAGACAGGGGTGGACATTTGGATTTTGAATGCCCTTTCCAAGAGCTTTTCTCATATAGTCTATAGCACATTCCCTTAGTTCTTCAATCATTTCTTGCGTCTCACCAGCGACACTTTCTTCTGCATTCTGCAATTTCTTGATTTTTTCCTTGTAGCAGTATCCAATTTGGTAATGGAGGTAACTGTTATTTGGTATGTGTTCCAGTGCCCTCAGAAACAGTTCAATAGCTTTGTCTAGATCACCCTTGTTTCTGTAAAATTTGGCTGCACTTCGAAGAACGTCTGTTTGGTGAGGAGCTTTCTCCACGGCTTCTTTGGCCAGTAGCTCCCCTTCAGGTTCCCTGCTCAACTTCTGCAGTTTCAGGGCCAAGAGAACTTTAACATACTGGTTGTCAGGGTTCAGCTCAATGGCCTGCCTCAAAGTATCCACAGGGAACTGCTTCTGTGGTTTTTCCTCCAGGCGGTACTTGGCAATTGCCAGTCCAGAGGAAAACTCAGGATCATTGGGTTTCTTGTCCAGCGCTTTCTCAAAGCAGACCTTTGCCCTTTCATTATGCATTCCTCCACACTTTAACCATGTCCACCCTTCCTCACCGTCAAGTTCAGGACACTCAAGACTGTAAGGGTTGGAAAACTTCTCACAGATCTGTTTCACTTTGTCTATACATGCTTGCACTTCTGAGAGCCTGCCCATGTGATAGTAGACCCAGGCGTAGTTTCCCCAGGTGACCAGACTTCTGATGTCTGCTTCCTCTGGGTGCTCTTGCTGGATTAACTCTTCGGCTTGTCGTAAACAATCCAAGGCGGCCTCGTTTTGACCGTCCAGGTGTTTTACATAGGCCAACAGGTTGTACATCGTGGCTTTGAACTCGGTGTTTAAAAACTCAATTTGGTTGCACACTCGCTCTTCTAGATCACGTATGTCACTTTCTTCAATTAGTAAGTTCCATGTGAAATGGCATTTCAGTTGCAGAAGGATTTTCCTCAGGGAATCCTTGGTGATCTCACTGTAGAGAAAACAAAGATGGTTACTCTTGTGTGCACTGCCAAGCACTCCACCCCTAAGTCGTGTTAGGCAGAAGAGGAGGCACGTTCCTTGCCCTTTCCAGATTTATCTTTCTGTAGCCATGGTCTAAGTAGGAACCCACAAAGCACATCCCCTACACCCTTGCAGCGGCTATGCACCCACTGTCTTCATGTTGATTCAGACTTGGTAAATCTTTGTGGAAATAGAAAGCCTCATCTTTCAGCAGGTGGGTTCAGGCTGTTGACCTTGGAATTAGTAGCTCAACACGTAGCCCATTATGCCATCAGGAAAATGTCCACGAACTTTTGAATCCCCATTGCATAAAAGATGGGGAAGGATGAATGAGAGGAGGATGGAGAAGGCTCTCTTTGGCTATGTCTCAGTTCTCACCCACTCTGGGTCCGTATATTTAGCCACTATACTGAGCGCCATCTCAAGGAGCTCTGGTGGCATAGTGACTGCACATTGGGCTATTAACGGCAAAGTCAACAGTATAAAACCATGATCTCCTTCAAAGATCAGGTCTTCTGATTCCTTAGAGTTTTACAACATCGAAAGACCCACAGGGAAATTCTACCGTGTCTTGTAGGGTTGCTATGAGCCAGTAGTGACTGGATGGCTGTAAATTTGGTTTGGGGAGTTTGAAAATCTTCTCTGTACCATGTTCTTTGCTAGAGACACTAAGAAAAATAGAAGACATCCCAGCATTCCCTGCCCCACTCAGTAGCTCCTGGTCTCATTAGAAGGAGCCATGAAAATACAGGGATGTCTGCCAATGTACGTGTGATTTTATCCTTTTCCTTCATCTTTGTCACCACCTCCCTGAAATCACACACAGACCACTGAAGGCTTGGCTTGAGTCTGACAGAACCCGCTTCCCACCATATAGGAGAGCTAAGTAGGTAGATAAATAGTGTGATGGTAGATTTATTGTGCCAACCTGGCCAATAGACACATGTGGGATTAATAAGGTTGCAGCTTATTGGAAGGGCAAAGAGATAAATGGCTCATTGAGCCTCATCCATGTGTCTCTTGCTCTCTGATGATCGGACCAGTGTGCAGCTGTCTTAGCTAGTTCTCTGCCTCAACTTGCAAGCTACACTATCTGTGGGATACCCAACCCATGGACCATGTTGCTATAGTGTGAGGTTCCTTCAACACCTGCTTCACCACACTGCTGGTGTGTACATCACTTGAGCTGCGGACTGTCGGACCCTGTCATCTGGCTGACTATTGGTGACCTGGCCTGCTGTTTGCTGCCTATGGCTGGACTGCCTATATTGATCTACAGAAGACTCAGCTGTCTGCTTCCTTGACTTGCACCCAACAGCCCTTATGAGTTGAAGGATTGCCTGAGCCCTCTGTACTGCTCTATGGACTAATTAGCTCTTTATTTCATTGTGTTATATATATCCATCCATATACATATATATGTATATATGTGCACATATATCCATATATATATATATATATATTCATAAGAGTCCTGATTTTGTTTCTCTAGAGAACCCTGGCTAACACACCCAAAGAGAATGAAGTTACTTTAAGAACACAGAGAAAACCCAAAATCTGTGTCTTTTTAAAAAAATTAAAACATTTTATTGGGGGCTTGTACAAGTCTTATCACAATCCACACATACATGCATTGTGTCAAGCACTTTTATACATTTGTTTCTCTCATCATTCTCAAAACATTTGCTTTCTACTGGAGCCCCTGGTATTCGCTCCTCATTTTTCCCCTCCCTCCCTGCTCTCCCCTCCCCCATGAACCCTTGATAATTTATAAATTATTATTATTTTGTCATATCTTACACCGTCTGACATCTCCCTTCACCCACTTCTCCACTGTCCATCCGCCAGGGAGGAGGTTATATGTGTGTCTTATAGTTAGTTGGAAGATAATCAAGAGAAGTCATTTGTTGTACTTAGCTATAGAAGTCATTTCAGTTCTGAGAGTGTGTTCTCACATCATAAGTTCAGTAGTTCCAACCGATCAACTGCACCGCCGGCCAAAGATGAGGCTGTCTGCTCCCTGAAGTTTTACAGTCTACTCTAAGGAGCAGTTTTATGTAGCTTTTCATCTCCAGGCATCAAGACTATAAGTATCCGAGAGGGGAGCCATCTTTTTCTCTCGGCTTTCCCTCTCTGGAGGCTCTCTCTGATGATAGTCCTCTAGCAGGTTAATACATTTTTTTTTCAGTCAAGATTCTGAGAGTATCCTTTACCTAAAATAAAACGCACCCATTTTAAATGTACAGTGTGCTGAGTTTCGACAGTGTGACCATCATCACTCTCCCCCTAGACTACTTCTCTGTGCCCGAGAGATTCCCCCACCCCCGTGGCCCCGGAGTTAGTCTCCACCTCATCACTGTCCATAGGCAGCCAGTCATCTGGTTCCCACTAGAAATTAGAGCTTTGACTGGTAAATAATTTTGAGGAGAAATTACTTTCAGCTGCTTAATAGCTCTCACAATAAACACTGAGCTCTGGTCTTTGTCTTCATATAAGATATGCAAAGTACCCAACTGTGAGAACTTTTTCTACCATGTCCCACCTTAAACTGATCAAGTGGCTCAGGGCAAAAATGCCCTCAGTATGGGTAGCATTTGCAGTATTGATCCTGTCTTTAAGACAATTATCAGCTGAAAAGAAATACTCTTCTTACAACGACAAGCAAAAAAGCCTCTGAGGGAATCCTTTCAGGTGCTTAACAAGAACAGGAAAAGGTGTAATCCTCAGGAAGAGTAGTCCCCTTGGGTGCGCCTTCAAATGAGCAAACTTTGCTAAGTGGATCTAACTACACCTGTCACCCCTCCCCCTGTCAGGAAAGCAAGAGATGGGGCAAGGAGAGAAGGGGAACCAATGGAAGGAATCCCCGTTATCAAGGGAGGGAGGGGCAGGGCAGAAAAGTCACGTTTCATTATCAGCGCCTTTCAAAGGGGTGGGCTTCCTTGTACCACGGGGGAGGTAGTCAAGGGTGTGGATTCAGATGAGCCAGAAGAGCACAGCGTAGGTTCTGCCTCACAGCATGACACAGCACGAATTTTGGGTGTGTACACTACATCTTTCTGAAGGAGCTTTATAAAGGGAAGTGTACCAGGGAAAAGCCAGCCCAGAGCAGAAACTCTGCCATCAGCCGCAATAGAAACCGGGATTTCCATGGAGGTTAACTGAGATGCCTGACTGCACTTTTGTGTCGGTGTCACCCTTAAATAAGGTCCCTCCCTCCGTTCTAAACATCTTCCTATGTCTTGCCTGCATACTTGGTGGCCAGAGTGACAACTGCGGGAGGAGGGACCTGAGACAGGCTCTCCCATCCCAGGTCTACCTAGAAGTTTAAGGAGCCTGAAGTTACTCACCTGAAAGAGTAACAGGAAAAAACAAACCAAACCAAAAAACCCAAGCGGATAAATGCAAATGTATCCCATAAGCCAAAGGACGATTCAGGGATTTGTTTGCTCACGGAGAAGCACAGATCACCAGATGCATTCCAGAGCAAGAGAAGATAATCATTCTTATTTTACTTACCTCATGATGGCAATCAGCTTCTGGGCTCTTCTGGAGAGCTGGGGTCCACACGCAGGTTCCTTCTCCAGCACCTTTCCTGCACTGCCCCAACACAGCGCTAAAGCGCTCTCTGCAGGGCTGGGAATAAATACATCAGCTGATGCTGACTTCCTGTTCCTGCTTAATTGCCTGAAGAAAAAGGAAGGGAAAGTGGAAAGTGAAACTGATTTCAAATCTGATGAAAACATCCAGAAGGTTCTTTGTTGAGGAAAACGAAACTTTTGAAATAAGAATGAAAAGCCGGTTTAAATGAAAAACAAAGAGGTTGGTTCTTTGCAAAAGAGCAGTTTGCAAAACGGGGGGCACAGGGAGTCCAGATGTTCTTGACAAAGTGCTGTAGAGGCTGTGCGTTTACAAAGGACCCCAGAGAAGCACAGCAGACTGCGGTGGGCGGCAATGGACGGAGCTTAGAGAGGAATTAGATCCACGCTCTGGAAAAGCATAGGGTTTTGTAAGGACCTAGGCACAGGTTAGGGAAAAATAAAGGTCTTTTTGTTTTGTTTTGTTTTTTGAGGGGGAGTAAACGGGGTATGTTCTGATAATCAGCTGACCTCTAAAACCCCAGACTTAACGCCCGCACTACTTGAGTTATGTGCTTTTAATATTAGCCATTTCTAACCACAAGGTCATCTTAGAACATTTGGGCAAGCCGAATAGGGGTGCAAAGTCACATTTCTGTAGAGCTGCTTGTTTGTAGGTCAAAAGTACAAAGGAAAAGTTACAGAAGCATCAGGCTGAATTATATGGTAGTAGCTACACTTTATGTTTAAAAGTTTTTTAATGGCAACATGAAGCAGCCCTGGAGGCAGCATGGGATACACCGTGAGCTGCTAACTTCAAGGTCAGCAGTTTGAACCCACCAGGCAGTCCATGGGAGAAAGAGGAGGTTTTCTGTTCCTGTAAATATTTAGAAGTCTCCGAAACCCAAAAGGGCAGTCCTACTCTGTTCTATGGGATTGCTATGAGTCAGGATTGACTTGCTGGCAATGGAAAAAGCAAAATGAGGAGCTCTAGTGGTACAGTGGATTATACATTGAACTGCTAGCCACAAGGTCAAGGGTTCGAACCCACCAGCCACTCCCAGTAAGAAAGATGCCCCAGTCTCTTCCCATAAAGGATTAAAGTCCCCAAACCCAGAGGGATAGTTTCTACTCTGTCCTATAGGGTCATAATGAGTGGTGATCGACTCAATGACAGGGAGAGGTTTGCTGTTGTTGTTGATGTTGTTTTAAAGGCCTAGGCTTTAGTCAGAAGTCTCAGCCCTGTCAAGAGTCATCATTTTGGAATGCCCTTCTACAGGATTGAGACCCGTATTGCCTCCAGACACAGCACATTTCCCCAAAAAGCAGGATTCTGAAAGACAGTTGGAGAGAATGTTAAAGCCATTCCAGGAACTGACTGCAAATCTAGGATGGGCTAGGGAACAGCATTTAAAATAACTTTGAGGAGATTTTCATCTAAGAGTTTCTAGGAAGACATGATATGAAAGACATCCAGAAACATTTCGTAAAGAGTAGTGTTTTTCCAGAAAATATACTTGTGAGAGATCTGGATTGAGTGTGTCTGTTCAGTACCTCTGTTGCTCAAATCTTCTCTATTCTTCAACGCAGTGTCTCACAACTCACCAACATTCGTGATTTAATATTCTTTCAATTTGAGTAGGGAAGGTGTGGTAGTTACATAATCTCCTGTCAACTTGAGAACACTGAGAGTGAAGGGGTGGAGTCTAGCCTGTCAATCAGGTCACAGCCTCATGATGTCTCCTTGTGGGTGTGGCCTCCGGGGAGGTGGGCTACAATCTCTCTCTGCTACACATTCCTGTTGACAAGCCACATGAAGCCACGCTGATGGCAGCCAGAGCCCTGGAGATGCATCGACCACCATTGGATCCTCAGGACTTTCCATCCACTGGCATGTGATCTTCCTGCATTTGGCATCATTGCGTGTGCTGTGTGAATTTATGGACTAGTATCAGGCTTATGGGGTAATATCAAACTTATGGTTTTGTTCTGGACTGGGCTGGGATGTTTTCTCAATATGCAATAGCTCTTTGATATAAAGCTCTCTCTTACATCTATGAGTGCATCTGGATTTGTTTCTCTGGTCAACCCACCCTAACACAGAAGGCAAGACTTAGAAGGATGTTTTTCCCTAAACTGGAAGATTAGGGTGCTTAATGCTGGCTCAGTGGAATTTGAAACATCCAGAAGGGCTTTGCTGTTGTTCGGTGCTTTTGAGTCCACTCAGATTCATCACAAGGCTCTGTGTCCAACAGAACAAAATCCTGCCTAGTCCTGCTCCTGCCTCACAATTATGTTTGAGCCCATTGTTGCAGTCATTGTGCCAACCCAGCTCCTTCCGGGACTTTCTCTTTTTCACTGAACCCCACTTTATCAATCATGATGTCTCTCCTGAGAACACGTTCAAAGGATGTGAGATGAAGTCTCGCCACCCTAGTTTCTAAATAGCATTCTGGCTGTACTTTTTTCAAGATAGACTTATTTATTCTCCTGGCCATCCACAGTACTTTCAATGTTCTTCACCAACACTATAAATCATCAAATGAACTTGATGGAGCTAATGATGAGAAATAACATATAATTTTTATATCTTTTAATCTCATTTTCCAATCATTAAAAAAATACCCTTGAGGCAGACTAGCAAAAGAAACTCCATTTTGTAGCTGCTGAATGACCTACCTCCTTCCCACTCCCTTCTCGGAAAGTCCCACTAGTGATTGCTTTTAGAATGTACTCTCATGTTCCCAGGTTCAGGACACTACAATTAATTTAGACTATTCTTCAATATATCGTGTTTTAATATTGTTCCTTTTGATGTTCTAAAGTGCGTGGTGTAGTTAATCTTGTTGTGGTAACCAGGATGTTATAGCCAATGTTGGTCTTGTTTCTTTTATGATAAGGAATGAACCTTGTAATACATGCTGGCTCTTCTTGAAGTTACCAGAATGTTATGATCATGCTGTACCCTGCAATGCTCCCTGACCCTAAAGAATAGTAACATTAATTTTGCTTTCTGCTTCTGTCCACGCTTGCTTAAGTCTTAGACTAAGGATAAATGAGTTTTTTGACTCAAAAGGTGGGCTGAAATTTCGACTCAGGACTGCAATCAAAGAATCACTTTTAGGTTCTAGCAGTTCGGTTATAACTGAATGAAGACTCTTCTGAATTATCAAGACATTATAGTGGCTGTCATTTCTTTGAACCCATAATACCCTCATATATACATTTTAAATAAAACACTTTAAAAGCTTTATTTAGTTATAATTCATGTACCATATAATGAACACACTTAAAGTGTACAATTTAATGACTTTCGGCACATTCAGAGTCGTATAACCATTACCAGCTGTAGAATATCCTCATTATACCAGAGAGAAGCCCAGATCCCTTAGCAATCCCATCCAATATCCCCGTTCCTCTGCAAGCACTCGTCTAGCATCTGTCGCTATAGATTTGCCTATTATGGACGTTCCCTAGAAATGGAGTCATACTCTATGTGGTCCGTTGTGTCTGGCTGCTCTCACTTTGCGTGATGGTTTCAGGGTTTGTCTATAATGTGGCATGTAACAGCTTCGTTGCTTTTCTGCTTTTTATAAAAGCTTTTTATTGTGGATTGGGTGAAGGTTTACAGAGTAGCTTAGTTTTCCATTTAAAAATTCATATACATTTCATTTAATCTGATTGATTGCTACCCCCAAATGTGACATCATGTTTCCCACTTCTTCCCTGTGGTTCCTGTTTGCATTCTGCCTCCTTTTCTAACACACTGGGTTTTGTGCTCGGGTAAATGTTGGGCTTTTTATGTCAAAAGATTGATTATTCTAAAGTCTGGGTACTTCACTTGTGTGATTGTTCCTCCATATAGGCCTGTCTATTTTTGTCTCAAAATTGAGAATGGGGGTGAGTTCATTTTCAAACCTGAAGAGTGACAAGGGGCAATAGCCTCAAGGGTTCGACCCAACCAGTCCCTCCAACCAGCCTCAAATCCCACTGGCATCCAGTTGATTCTGACACACAGAGACCCTGTAACGGGTTTCTGTGCCAGCCTCACCATTCTCCCTCCGGTCAGCTGATGAGTTCGAACTGCAGATCTTGCCGTTAGCAACCCAATGTCTACTCCAAACTACCACCAAAGCTCCTTAAACCATGAGATTTGGTCTTTTTAAAAAAATCACTTTGAGTTTTGGTCCACATTCTTTTTGCTCTCTACAGAAAACTCTAAAGTGATCCCCATCAGAAAGGTCATGGTAACTGGGCATCATCTAGTTATGGTCTCAGGGTCATGTAGACTGATGTGCATATCATCCATTGGACTAATTGTCCCCATGCATCTTTGATTTTCATCACTCTGGACAAAGACAGACCAGTGGTTTAACTTTAGGTGGTTGCTCACAAGCCATTAAGACCCTAGTATTTACTCACCCGAGAAGGCTGTAGAAGGCTGTCTTTGTGGGAGTTAAAGACTTTGGCTAGCAGAACCACATTAAATAATTCACTGCTCCTGAAATGCTCTCTGCCCATTTTTTAAAATTAATCATTTTATTGGGAGGTCTTAAAAATAGTATAACAATCCATAATTCGATTAGACAAAGCATAATTTTACAATTGCTACCACCATCAGTTTCAAAATTAAAGAACTAGAAATATTAAAGAACTGGAGGATAGTTAATGGTGTCACATTATTAGAACAAACCATTGTTTTTTTTTAAACATTTAATTAGGAGCTCCTACATATATTATTATAATCCAAAATTCCATTAGATCAAGCATAATTGTGCAATTTCTGTCATCATCATTTTCAATACATTTTCTTTCTTCTTGAGGTCCTTGATATCAGCTCCCCATTATCCCCCTCCCTCCCCGACCCTACCACTCCCCTTATCCCTTAATATATATTATAATTATTATTGGGGGGGTTCCCCATAACTTACACCATCTCATGTATCCATTCACCTAAAATTCTGTTCTTTCCCCTCCAGTGAGGTTATACAATCATCATTGCTATCATTTCCCCTCTCCCCCACTCTCTTCCCATATCATCAGGGAGTCATTACTTCCCTTACTGTTTCTGAGGGGTTTATCTATCTTGATTTCATGCATTGAAAGTTCTTGATTGTACTCATGTGCATACTCAGGTCTAGCATAATAGTGGGAGGAGGAAATTTTAAAGAACTAGAGGATAGCTATGTGTTTCATCAGTGCTCTATTGAACCCTGGATATATTATCCCTTCCATATGACCCTTCTGTGAGGGATTGCCCAATTATCTTACAGGTGGGCTTTGGGTCTCTAATTTGCCTATGCTTTCAGGTCCATTTGATTGCTTGTTTTTGAATTTCAGATA